CAGTTTTTTTTTCTGTTAATTCTTTTCTGGGATATAATAAATATCTATCGTTTGTTATCAATTGTTAAATGATTAACTGATTAAATCAAAGCAATGATTAATTTTAAGAAAAATGATTAAAATTTGATTGAATGTTAGCAAATAAAATTACCATTTTTTTTGCATTTATTTGATGAAAAATATCTCTATGTGTTGACAAAATGCAATCAAAAAAAATTTTGATAAAATTAGAAATATTGTTGTTTTAATAAAATAATAAATAAAATAATAAATAATAAAATGTAAAAGAATATATTTAGAAGGATATTCGAAAAGTTGGGGCATGCGAAGGCTTAACCAAATCAAAGTAACACAAAAGCTTAGTAATATAAAAGAGGAAAAAATCACTTCACTAACTTTTATCATTTTTCACGCTCGATTTAATAGATCCGAATAGCTAGTGGAAACCCCGCTTTTTGGAGGCGAACAAAAAGCGAACAATACTGAAAAGGATATTTCAGATATTTTACCTAAGTAAACCTATGCAAAATTGCTCGTGAATAATTAAACAGTAATTGAATAAATAATTCAATGATTTTCTTTATATAATTTTAATTTTAAGAAATAATAATGTAAAAAAAAAATAATTGTGTTTTTGAAATTTTTAATTCATTATTTATATGAAATAAAGGGCGGCAAATTATTGATAAGAATTATCACATTAATATTATTTTATTTTATTAGTTTTTTTTTTTAATTGAAATTTTTCATTTTCAATTGCTTGTTTTCTGAAAAGCAATGTACAAGTTTTTTTTTTTTTATTTAAATGATTATTAATTGATTATCAAATGATTGAGAAAATTAGAGAGAAATCAATAAAATGGTAGAAACGCCTTCGAAAATTCAATTGAAAACCGGTTTGATTATAGGCTATTTTTATTAATTTCAAGCAAAAACGGTGACATTCTGTCTCGTACTCTATTATCAAATATAATCAAATAACGAAAATTTTGTATAATAATAGTAATGATAATAATAATGAATAAAAATTAGTGGATATCGTTAATTTCTTTAGTAAAAACTTTCAAAACTTTTGAATCGCTCGTTTCATTAATTGTTTTGGACGAAAAAATTATACGAGCAATTTTTACCTTTCATTCGTTTATTTTTCTTACTTTTTTCTCAAAATTTTTCTTCTAATTAATGTTCACAAGTTTGGACTTTCCGTCTGGGTTCGTTCCATCATAATGGAGTAGCTACTACCAATGATTCATTTAACAATATGTATTTTTTCATAAGGAAAGGTTTCCACACGTGGCCAGAGAATAGAATCTTCTCCGAAAGGTATCACATCAACAGGTCATTCTGTCTTTTTTATGGTTTTCAAATGGTACTAAAATCGTTAAGTGTACAAATGGATAGTTGTTAATTTATTGCTAATTTATATAATATTTTCTTAATTTATGAGAGAATCTTTCATCGATATGCTATAATTTATTAAACTGTTATTTTTAACTTATTTTTAACTTTTAAATTATTTTTATTTAAAATTTACAAGTTTTATTTTCTTAAAAAGTTTAAAAAATAAAATTTAAAAAAGAAAATCGCATAATCGTTTTTTTATTCTTTAATTGTATATTTAATTATAGTTTTTGAAATTGAATTATTATAAATTTTGATTTTAGATTTTTAAAATTTAGTAAAAATTTTAGATTAAAAATTTTATATAATTTTAAATAAATAAAAAATTGTAATTTTAATCGTTTGCAATCATAATTTTTAAAAGAAATCGTATGACACATAATTTTTTTCGTTAAATTGTAGACGAATATCGGCATAAATAATGAATGGCCTTTTTAATGAAATAATTATTTTAAAGAAAAATTTTAACGATAGTCCTTCGAATGGCAATAAGAGTGTATTTATTATATTTATAAATCGTTTAACCGAATAAAATGATTGTTATCGTTATGAACTCCAATTTTTTGTTTTTGCCAAGCTTATCAGATTTATCAAGCCTTATCAAATTTATCAGATTTTTAAAATATTTTTAAAATATTATTTTTGCTTTCATAGACAAAAAAAATTTTCTATCTGGTTGTGATTCTGTGCAATTTATGCTATAAAATTAAATAAATATAAATTCGTTTAGGTATTTTCTTTCACAGAGATTTTTTATAGAATAAACGATTAGTTCTAATAATTTCTTGAAATTTATCGAGTACATCTAGGAAAAGAGTACCACAATCTGTAGCCATATATACGAAACTTGTAGTATTATTATATTATTATTAATAATTTCCTAGCGATTAAATTAAAAAAATTTTCTCCCCAAAGATATAAAAAAAATTATTTTTTCTTAGCGACAAATTTTTCTTATAATTATTCTATTTATCGATTTGCCGACATTTTAGTAAATTTAGCAACTTGTTAAAAATGATAAATTTGTATTTATTGCTCATGCAACTTTATTTAAGTAAAATACATTATGTAGTGGTAAATTGGTACCACAAATTCGAAACTGATAAAATCTGATTTAGGATAAGTGAATGGATTATCGAAAAGTCTTCACTAGAAATTTTTTCCATATTAGTCGTATTTCTTTTCTATAAAATTTCTTCTTATGCTTCACAAACATAGATTTATTTTATCCATGAATTTATTTAAATTTAAAAATTATTCGCCTATTTGTCCTCTATTTGTATGGTAAAAGGAAAAAAAATTCTTTTCTTAAGATTAATTGTACTATTTCGAATTGAATTTCTGCTTTCTTTTTTGATTAATATGTTGGAGAATTTTTTGAAAAATTCTTAAATGTCACCATGATTGCTGTAATGAAATTTTTTAAATTATTTATTCATGGAATTTTTTTTCTAAAAATACTAACCATTTATAATTTTAGCTTATTTCACTTGCTTCGCTTGTCGTATGAGGCAAATTATTGAACAATGAATTATTGTTTTTTTTTTTTTTTTTTTTTTTTTTTAGCAATAGTAATATAAATGAATCGCTAGCATAACCTCGACTTTCGAAAGAAAAATCTACTCATGCAAGAGGATTTACTCATGCAGGAAGTATTAGATTTGCTTAACAACTCGTTTAGTCATTCTGCCTTATTGGATTGTTATTTTGTTATTTTTCGTTTAAGAAATATCATTTTTTTCATTTTTATTCTAAAAGAATTTTTTAAAAAAAGCTTAAACCTTTTAAAAGTTTAAAAATTTAAATCTTTTAAAACTTTAAAAAAAAACCTTATTTTAATATTAAAAATAAGCAGTTTATACTCGTCACTTTTGGTTAGTTAAATTGCGTTAGCTGTTCATATGATTAAAAATTGAATTCCTATGAGAGAATTAACCATTATCATTTATCATTTATCAACAAAAGTATAGAAATTGGATTGTCACGAATCATCGAATCATTGTAACCATTAATTATATTACATTTAACGAGTTTCTTTATTAAAATAAATGCGATTTTTTTGATTTTTTTATGAAAATTAACAAAATTTCTTAAATTACAAATGGCATACGTTACTTTTGAAAATTTTTGCTTATTCGTTTATCATTGATTTTTGATTAAGAAAAACTGAAATGAAACCAGTCTGAAAATATAAGAAATGAATCTTTCGAAATAAATCTTTTTTTTTTAAAACTTTTCCAACTAACGAAAACGATTTCATAATTTACAAAAAATTCGAGAATTTATAGTTTTTTCATAGTTTTGCTTTATTTTCCCTTTTCTGTACAAAAAATTATTTGAAAAATAGTGAATTTATCGAATTTTCTAAATTGTTTTTCTAGTTCTTCTCTTTATTAAAAACTAATTATGAAATGGTAAGATTTATCAAAGTTTTATGCTTAAATAAATAGTGATAAGATAATGATTACTATAAAATGAGAATATCTGAAAAAGTTAATAATTTAAATAGAAGCCTTAAATTTTAATCATTATAGTCATTATAGCACTTAAATCAAATCTCAATCTATAAATTGAGTCTATTTTTATAAATAATTCTAATATAATTATTCTAATGAATTCTAATATAAAGGCTTTAGATGAACTTTATCAATGGCAATATTGACGAGTGGAAAGAATAAAAAATAAGAACAGTTAAGTTGATGTGATACTAATGTAGGGTTAGTATAACAGACGTAACATTAGTATAAAGTAAGATGTATTGTTCCTTATATGGACAAGGGAAGGGATATTGGGTTCTTGCTTTCTGAAAATATCATTATCACTGAAATGAAGCATTGTGTATGGCAATCGACCTATTCTCATATTACTAACTAGCCAGTAAAACTAGCCAAACCAGAAATGATAAGTTTTGAAAAGAATATTGTTTGATGTTTATCAAGAAAAAAAAAATGAAAAGATATTTCTGGAGGTGATTTTTATTTTTTTGCTTTTCGTTAAATTTGAAATTTTTAAATTTCTTATCGTATTTTCGATTTTCTTGCAGATTTTTCTTGCCATCGTCGATTATAATTTCTCTTATGGCGAATTAGCAGAACTTTTAGATAACCTGGTGATAATTTCGTAAGATTTCCACTTCTCTCACCTCCTCTATTAATATTAATTCTATTAATATTAAAAAAAACTTTGTAAGTCTCATTTATTATTTCTTAATTTTTATAGATAATGATACGATGAATCTATAAAAATTTTTATGAATATTCTATAAATTTATGACATTATTGTGTGAGAATTGGTTAATTTTTTTCTGTTTTTTTAAGAATCTTCACCATTAATTATTAGCAATAGACAAATATGCTAGGGAATATCTTTTAGAGACAGAATTATACATGAGCCGCCAGCAACATCTGGATTTTTGGTTAGACTACTCTTATTCTTGCAGGGAGTAGAGCATCAGCATCGGCACTCCGAATTGAGTAACAACCCACTGAGCCATTCTATTCTCCTATCGATTTATAAGTATATTAAATTGATTTAATAAAAATTTTGATAAAAATATTGAAGTATGTTTCAGTAGAAAAATTTAACGAAATTTCAAGTTGATGGAGAGCAATGCGTCTTCATCTTTTGACATCGACGAAAATTCGAGGCGTTCGTCGATTAAAGCTAGCGAAATTACAGATGATAGCGATGATGAACAATTTTTATGTGGTTATGGCCGGTAAATATATTTTTAATTTTTAAAAATTTCCATTATTTTTTAAAATTATTTTCTATTGAAATTGAAAATGAAAGGTTGGTTTCAATCGATTTAAATAAATTAAAATGAATAAAATGAAAATGAAATAAAATGAATTTAACTACTAAAAAAATCTATCAATTCTTTTTCATTTAACACCTTGCACTATTATTGATTGAGCTAGTTCCATAGGCTACAAAGATAAAGCGATTGCGTAGTCGAAAATCACTCGTCCTTCAACTACCTAGGCTCATATATCGATGAATACTCACATGTATACAAATCTGAATGTATCAATCTAGATTTTGACTGATCCCCTCATTTTTAACTCTGGCACGACACTCTTTGAGCGTCGATATTATTTACTGCGAATGAATTTGAATGAAGTAAAATATTTTTTCGGTTGAGCCCGTTAAAATATGACTTAGTCAGAATTGGCCAATGGGACTTTCAGCTTCCATTCATCTTTTGTCATCTTATAGAATAAGTTGGAAACAATAGTGCTGTTAGAATAAGAACGAGGCGAGGTAAGATGGCAGCTAAAATAGAACCTTCGCTTTGAAAAAATCAGCATTAAATTTATTTTTTTATTTAGATTTATTTTATAAAAAGAAAATCATAAAACTTTGTAGATGTACTCCACAATGGCTTCAATGGTTTCATACTGCAAAGTGGCTGCTAACTGTATTAGGTGCATGCGCTTTTGTGCAGAGTTTTGTTGTTAACAGCATATTTCCAGTAGGTTTATCAACGCTGGAAAAGAGATTTCATATGACGAGGTAGCGGCTGAGTTTCTGTTTTTTTTTCTGCTTTATACGCTTTATCAGTCTATCAAAATCCCTTCATTTGGTTCATCTGATAATGTTTGAATTCACCGGCTGATAACAAGTGGAATTTTTATTTATTGGTACCATACTGTTGTTTTAATAGCAATATTGAATCAATTTGACGAAATCAGTCAAATTTTTTGGCCTGAAAAATCTCAAAAATCATTTTTCATTGTTGAATATTTCATTTTAGTACACAGACTGGAATCATTTCAAGTTGGTACGATTTTGCAGTTTTATTAGCAGTTTTTCCCGTTTGCCATTGGGGCAATTCAGGTAGTATTTTTGTTTTAGCCTAAAACATTAATTTTAATTCATTTGATTTAAAAAATTTTAAAAAAGTTTGTTTCTATTTGCCATATGAAAATTTCATATAAGTCATTTTTTGTTTTATACGCCTTTATCAGTTTATCAGAATCCTTTTTTTTAATTATAATTAATCGAATGATTTGATATTCGATTTATGTATTTCCAAATGTATCTTTGTGATGGGCTTTTGAAATCACAAGCTAAACAGAATGCATAACTAAAGCTAATTGCATAAATTAACTTTAAATTAACTATTCGTGCTTCGAAATTTGTTGGTAATAAAGTTTTTATACTACTGAAAAAAATAATTGAGAAAATTGTTCGCATTTGATAATGAATATATCTGCACATATAAAAATTTTCAGCTGCTAGAAGCACATTATTGAATTTCCATTAGGAATTGCAAGCGAATAAAATCTGAATTGGCAAAAATATTTAAAAATATTTAATAAAATATGATAAAATAATAAAATTCTGCAAATATTTCGTTAATCAGCAAAATTTTTTAAAATATATAATATATCTCGGAAAGAATAAAAAAAAGGAAGTTCTGTTCTCTTCTAATTATAACAAATGAAATGAAATTTTTCCAAAATTCTATTTTAAGGCCACAAAGGCCGCTGGATTGGTATTGGGACTTTTTTAATGGGCTTAGGCTCATTTGTTTGTGTGTTACCTCATTACATGGTCAGTCCCTATCATATTAAGGAAAGAAATCAAAATGATAGTGATTTCGGTCAATGTGGTTACAGGTATCGTAATATTTCATAAAATAATCGAAGCACCTTATTACATTTTGTTTTGGCTGTGATATATGACTGACTTAGGAATTTCACTTTTATCTTTAGCCATCAGCCAACTATTTCATTCCTTTATTGCATTTTTTATTTGCCACAATTTTTTTGAGCCGATTATCCTTAAAATAAAATTGAATCCTTTTTTTTTTATTTAAAAAGAATAACTAATACAAATTAGTTGGTAAAAAAATAGGCTTTCAAAAGTAGGCAATGGTTTTTTTTTTAAAAACTCTCACCATTACTCGTTAGGCTCACTCCACTGGCTTGTCGTACTAGATAAATATGCTACGGACTCCCTTGGCGATAGAAATCCAGGTGAGTCGCCAGAATTACCCGAATTTGCTCGTGCGGGGAATAGAATTTCAATGTCGGCGCTCGAAATTGATTAATGACCCACTGAGCTATTCTACTTCGACAAATTGGTTAAGGTTTTTTGATGAATTAAATTCATTTTTTAAATTATTTCAGAGATTTGAAAGCCTCATCTTGCACAATCACCGATTCGACAAGCGCATCGTATCTTAACCCCTATTTTCTTATATTTATACTCGGTCAAACATTACATGGAATAGGAGCAACTCCGTTATTTTCAATAGGAACTGCTTATTTAGATGAAAACGTATCACAAAAAGCCTCACCAGTATACCTCGGTAGAGTTTTTTTTAAATTGTCGAAAATTCGTCTGATTTAACTGATTTGATTAGATTAATTAGTTTTTATTATGTGCAGATGCATGATCTACCGTTTTAAAAATACTGATAGATAATCGAATCTTCATATATTATTTATAGCAATTCATGCGGTCGTAACATCGATAGGACCAGTCATTGGCTTGTTTGTTGGTGGATTTTTATTGACGATATACACGGATTTTGATCGTGTTGATTTATCAAGGTGGGTTTTTTTTTTGAAATTTTCTCATTGAATAAATGCTTAATCGACAAATTCGAATAAAATAAACAATATTTTATGCAGAATAACTCTAAAAGACTCATCTGATCCTCGATGGGTAGGTGCATGGTGGTTAGGATTTTTGGCGTCAGCAATATTCGCTATACTTACTGCTTTCCCAATTTTGGCATTCGCAAGAGAATTACCTGAGGCGAAAAAACATCGGCAAAAAGATATAAACCAAGTTTGAATTTTTGAAAATTTTCTAAGAAAAAAATATAAAAAAATTTTATTTCTTACAAAAATTGCCTCGCAACCTTTCATGCTTTTAGGTTCATGCAATTTCACAAATTGATGATACTGACCAAATTTTAAAGTCGAATTTAAAAACACTTCCTCATGCAGTTTGGGTAAGATTTTCTTATTTAATTTGTCTCCGTATGAATTGTGAATATTAATCTTGGTAAAAAAAAAGAAAAGAAGATGAAAAGAAAAGAATTCCTGGAAAAACACTGACACTAATGACGCAATCTGGTGCACAAAATGGCTTAAGGGGTTGTTGCTCGATTCGGAGCACCGATAACGAGGTGCTCCCTGCAGGAATAAACCCGTCCAAAAGCCCGGGTAATGCTGGAAATTCCCTTGTACTTCTATTGCCAAAGGACCCTTCAGCATATTCATCTAATTCGAAAAACTAGCGGAGCGAGTCTAACCAATAATGAGAGCTTTTTAAAAAAAAAAAAGAAATAAAACAACGCAATCTGCCCATATTAACCGAGAGAACTGGAACATTGTCCACAAATCGTAATATGTAATTGTAAAGGAGTAGAAAAAAATCCTTCTTGGCAATGAAGATTAAAATTATTCGTTATCAATAGTAAAGGAGATAAAAGATTTCAGAATATCTTACGAAATCCCACATTTGTTACTTGCATTGTACTCGGTATTTTTGAATCGATCGTTATCAATGGTTTCGCTGCATTTATGCCAAAAATTCTTGAAGCAATTTTAAGCACGACTCCAACAAAAGCATCCTATCTTTCCTGTAAGTCGAATTTTTTCCTCTTTTTCAAAATCTATCTAAATGAAAATGATTAATTTTCAAATTAAACATATTTTATAAAATATTTAATATATTTATATTTCTAAATATTTAATCTATTTTTATTTTTTCAAATTCATTTATCATAAAGAGGCAGTTTATTGCATCGACTGCCCAAATTAAAAACACGAAAGTGATAAGATATATTTCGAAAAACTAAAATGAATATCAGTTCAGCCAAAATATAATAATAGTTTTTCAGCGGTGGTCATTTTTGCTGCAGCTGCAGGTGTAATGATTGGTGGCACTCTTATAAGGCAACTTAATTTACAAGTAAATTCCGATAAATTCTTTTTTATTGTACGACCATCGATATTTAAATTTTTTTTTAAAAAAAAACTTATTATGGTATTATTTATTAAAAATTTTATCATTATTTTTTAAATTGTTCTAATATTTATTGTTCTAATATTATTATTTTTAAGAAAAATTTTTAAGAGAAAATTATTAAAATTATTAAAGATTATTATAAGATTTTATGAAAAATTTTTTTTTTTGGATTTAATTTTAATTTGGAGGATTTAATTTTTATTTTTTAAAAAACAATTGAATATTCGAGACTCGAAATTGTTTTATTCATTCCAGATGTGATTCTAGGTCGGAGGAATGTTGAAAATGATATTCATGTGTCATCTTATTGCACTATTACTTATCATTTGCTTTTTAATACAATGCCCAGCAAGAACATTTATCGGTATCAATTGGAATTACGATAATCAGTAAGTATTTCAGTGAAGAAAGAATGAAAATGAGGAAACTCGAGTCAACCATCTAAAATAAAATATTATTTGAGAGTTCGAAAGATTTGCTATACAAAAGAAGATTTAATTATTTTAGGTTCATTTTAAGAGTGTAGGATATTAAGAAGTTATCTACCTTTGACCATTTATGTCTAAGGTGCAATTTATGGGCTCGTCCAGCCGATAAAATCTTACATGATTGCATCAATTTTTACTCAAGTACCGCTTGCATAAACAGTACCATCAACGTCTCCTTCACTGGTTAGGATACTTTGCCTGCCAGAGGAATTAATGAATATTTTGCTATGCCCTGTGATGAACGAGTCAAAAGCGAGGGCCAATCAGGACCTGGACCTATAGGGTCAGGAAATATTTTGGGTGTAGAGAAGACCAGCAATATATGGACTTCAGCGGTGGAAAAAAGGAATAGCTTCTGTTACTATCAGTGATCAGATCGTGCAGCTTGGAAATGTCTTATAACATAGCCAAGCTTACCACTAATGGTACGAACGGTTAAAAGAATAAAGTTTATTCGGCTGGATTTGCATTTTTTTAAATTTTTGAAGCAAACAATGCAGCCACTTCTATTTTTCTTTCCCATTTTCGTGCCCTCATTTTATAATCGTAGTCATGTAAATAATTTTCAAATACTGGGCCTGGATACATTAATAAGGAAAGTCGGCCCATAGTGCATGTAGCATCTATAAATTGCTCGAACGGTCTTGATACTACAACAATGATTGATTTTTATATTTTATGATGTGATTCTGGCAATTCGTACCATTATTGCCTAGGCAACCTCATGGTTCTAACAGTGAGGCATTTTCAACTTCTACAAGCAATAGAATTTATCTTTTCTTTTTCTCTAAACCAATAGCTGGGATCGTTCAAAATTTGACCGTACCAGCCAAAGTCTCGATTGCACTCTTCGCTTTTCACGTCATTCTTTACAAGCCTTGACAAGGAATGGGTCTGCGTCAATTTCTATCACGCACTATGAAAAATTGTCATGTACTGGCTTAATCTAATTAAGTATAGGCGATAATATTATGTAGATGGATATTCGAACTAACATGGTTGGTTAATGATAAGTGAATATAAAATGCTCGAAGGGACTATAAAATGTACATTATGCTTGGGGAATCAAAAGCACATTTTTTACAATTATATGAGGGGACTGTGCGCGCCATATTAAATGCAAATTCTTGTTTTCTGCTTTAAAAGGAATGAATTATTTGCACTCCCCCCCCCCCCTCTCCCCCTCCAAAAAAAAGAAAAATGAGGTTTCTAATAATTTTTTTTTATATATTTCAGAAAAATCAAAGGTACAGCAGGCAGTTTATATTCAGCATGTAATACGGAATGCTACTGCAAAAGTTTATGGAATCCTGTTTGCCATAAGGAAACTGGTTTTGCATTTTATTCAGCATGTTTTGCAGGTTGTACGGTCAAAACTCAAAATTCTTCGGTACATCATACTACTCGTTTTATAAAATTAATCGCATTATTTAATCTCTGTACAAGAAGTCGTAGTTTTTTCTTTTTTATATGGTTTTGTTGTTTTAAAGATGAAAGGATTTTTATAATTATTAATTCGACAGAGGTTATAGTACCACTATGGTACTATGATAATATTTATTAGGTATTTATGCGAATGAATGCGATATTCTTAGGGTATATTTTGGAAAGATTGTTCATGTATGAGACAAATCGCTTCGCATATGAATACTTCAACAGCACCATCAAATTATATTTTACAAGAAGGATTTTGTGAAAGAGACTGTGGATATTATGAATGGATATTCTTATTTCTTCTATTTCTTTCTGTTGTTGCCAGTTTTGCTTCTGGAATACCTTCACAACAGGCTCATATTTTTATTTCATTATTATCATAAAAAAAATTTTTTTAAAAATTAAAATATTAAAAATTATTAAAAAAAAATATTAAAAATTAAAAAATATGTCGAGATTAAGAGGGCTCAGTGCATTAAGTAAAGCTTTTTGGTACACTATTACAGTTACTTCTAAAAATATTAATATTATTTTGGAAAAAAAAAATTTCCTGTGGATGTTGTGGGTCTTGTTTAACCTTGAGTTCTGCAACAAAAGCATATGAATTTAAGAATATATATCTAAACTATTTCTAATAACGCGTTCTTTTCGTTGGAACCACTTTTCCAGTTTAGAAACCTCAGATATCGCCTATACTGTACCGGTGAGCAACAGTAAGACCATTTTGGCCTTCATATTACCTTCAGTTTCTCATTCAGTCCCTAGTATTTCTCTAGCTTCTCAAATTTTTTCTTGATGATTGTAGTATCTATTATTATCTATTATCAGCGTTATTATTAGTTCTTATTTTGTCTAGTACCACGATGTAATGGTTGGCTAGAACTCAGTGCAATACTTCTCAGTGGAGAAGCCCCAATGGATTTTGGCTCTTTTATTCTCTAGTGGATTTTTTTGAGAAATCTATCACCTAAGCTTAATTTAAATTACTTAGGTATTCCTGTAGAAAATAACCAGCTACCTGGTTATGCCTCTCATATATGCTTTTTTCGCCAATATTTCAATACATCTTGCCACTATTTGTTGAGTAGCTTCTGATATTTTTTTTTATATTTTGCACTTTTAGTCCTGCCTGATGCTATGGATCTTTACTTTGGCGTATCTTGGTCTGTTGTTATGCTGATCAATGCCTCAGTGCTGTTTTTTATTCCAGCTTTTTCCAGTCACTAGTAGGATTCCTTAGTACCAACCAGCTCAGCTATCTATTAATAGTATATCCTTTGGAGTGCAACTATTTCACCATGATATTTTCTCTGCTTAGGCTTCGCAATATCTGTTGAAGCTTCAAGGTTCATCATTTATTTAGCTCACTCATTGGTGCTATCTTACTGATGTATTTCTTAGTGCTTTGAATCCAAAACAGTGGCTTGATACTCATCGAGCCTTACCTGCCTTTTTTTCGACTGCTTTAGGTATTAGAATTAGAGTGGAAATTTTTATCCATTGCGAAGAATTTCCGAGGATCCTCGCATCTACAGCCTCCATGTCCTCCTCTGACCATCTCACTATACCTATGCCTAATGCCTAATGTAACTGATGACTAATGGTATGCATGCATGTCTATAGTAGGGATTTTATTTTTCCTATTGAATTTTTCTTCAAGATCTGTCTTACTTTAAATATATATTACACAGTAAGGCATATATTTGTAAAAAGGAATATATAATAAGCAAATTGATTTCTTTTCATTTTTAGATTATGTTACGAGTTGTACCGTTTCAACAACGAACTCTTGGCATCGGCGTACATTGGACATTCCTTAGGCTGCTTGGTGAGTTTTTTCTGCCCAGTTAACTTTGTCTAGGTTTTAGGACTCAATTGGATATGTATTAATACGTTGTTTTTAGAGAACATTAGATCTTTTCTTTTTATTAACAAAATATGGGCACAAAATTTTCTAATTTTTCTTGATAATATATTATTTATTCATCACATTTATGATATAAAATAAATAGTAATTATAATTGATATATAATATAATATAATATAATATAATATAATATAATATAATATAATATAATATAATATAATATAAAGGTAAAGGTTAAATAAGTAGGTATAAAGCGATTTAATAGAAAAAATAAATTGGCTTATGATTTACCACTTTTACCTCAAAATTAAATTTAAATCTCTTAATGAAACCTCGTAATTAGTCTGCGGCTATCTATTAAAAAAAAAACCTATTTATATTATAATTATATATGATTTCCTTGATCTCACCAGGCTTCATACCCGGAGGAGTACTTTTTGGTATGATGATTGATACGGCGTGTCTCAAATGGCAAGAAGCATGTGGAGCAAAACAGTCTTGTCTCGTATATGATTCTTATAAATTATCATGGACAATAATGGCCGTCGGTATATTTTTTTATATAACATATTTTATATTTTAACATTTTATTTTTTAACATTTTTATATTTTAAGATTTTTTGATAATTAATTTTAAAAATCTATCAAAGAAAAATGGAAAATTTTCACAAATTTTTTTAGCCATTTTTTAAAATCATGTTCATATGCTAAAGATTCTAATCAGTTTTAAATCTTTAGTTTGCTTTTGTTTTTTTTTTTCTTTTTTTTTTAGCTGTTGTTTGCAAATTGGTGTCGATATTAGCGGCAATTTTGGGCTATATGACATATAGACCAAACGATCTCGATAATGGAATGTCTATTCAGACAACTGATAGCCGTGGTCCTTTATCGCTTACAGTTAATGATGATCGACCTCCAACTGAAATTCATACTTCATTGGGAGAGAAATATTTCAGTAGTTGATTTTTATTTTTCTTTTTTATACCACTTTTAAGATGGAATTATTTGATAAAACAGATTGTTTTCTATGATTTTAACTTATGTTTATATAATTTGTTTTATTATTATTATTATTAATATTATTATTATTACTATGTGTATAGGTCACATTTTCCCAGGTATATTTTTATCTTTAAACATTTTATATGTTATTCAATTGATATTATTTAAAACTATTTGTATAAAAAGTTGAAGCTTAAAAAAAAAAATCCTACAATTAATCTACAAAAGAGAATTTGTTTAACGATTATAAGTGGATTAGTTGAACCTTGAAAGTTATTAATATAATCCACAAATACAATCAATTATTATTACAATTTCCTCAATGAACATTTATTCAACTGATTCATTAATTATAGAGAATCCATCGGGATTTCCATGTTCAGAGAAGGGGATAGAATGGCCCAGTGGGTTGTTGCTCAATTGGGAATGCCGATTCCCCACAGGAGTAAACCTGTATAAAAATCCTAGTGATTCTAGCGACTCACCTGTATTTCTATAGCCAAGGGACTCCCCTATTGTCCAATGCGACAAGCCAGTGGAGCGAGTTTAACCAGTAATGGTGAGGACTCTTAAAAAAAAAAAAAATCATATTCAGAGAAAATAAAGTATGTAAAAGATGAAGAACATTCACAAAAAAAAATTTAGCAACGAGCATTTATGTATATGAAAAACGAGAAACACAAAAATTTTCCTTAATTAAAGGATTATTTCAATAAATTTGGAAAATTTCAATAAATTTTGCCTATAATCCAATTGGCAATAGAAATACAAACGAATTGCTAGCATTATCCAAGATTTATGAAAATAAGGATAAAATTCCATTGAGTCTATCTAAATGAACTCAAATTTCTTTTTTCTAAATTATCAACTATTTTCCTACGAAACGATCGCAATTTCATGAAATATTTTCCAAAAGAAAGCATTTATTTTTATTATTTTAACAATAAATAAATTTTAAAATTGTTTTTTATTATTTATTTTTTAAAAATAAAAATAAATACATTTGCATTGATAACTACATTGGTTCTAATAAAAAAATAATTTTAATAATAAAAATTTCATTTTATTTCATAATTTCATTTCATAATTTTTTAATATAAAAAAGTTATGAAAAAATTAATTTTTTTTTTTGCACCAATGATTTTTCGTTTATTTTATTCAAAATGAATGATTTTTAATTTTTTATTATTCTATTCGCACATTGCAATATCCATATTTATCAAAATTGTGACATTATCGATTAGCAAAAAAAAAAATTTCTTAATTTTCCTGAAAGTTATAAATAATAGAAATAATGGCATCTTTCTCGATATAAATTCATTCTATAAAAATTTCATAAAATTTTTCAAGTGCGATTTTTTTTTCAAAAGAATGAAAAGTCAGCACTGATAAATGATAAAATGATAAATGATATTCGAAAATCGCATCAAATTCCAGCAATTAAGACATTTCAAATTTTCAAATTTTCGAATTTTTTTATTTTATTATTATTTTTAATAAAATTAATATAAAAATTAATATTTAATAAAATTTTAAGAGTGAATTTTAAAAATCTTAAAATTCTAAATAATGATAATGATTCGAAAATATAATGTAATTGTATTTTATTGAAAGAATTTGATTTCTAAAAAAAAAAAAATTCTATGAATTTTAAATTTAAAACGATAGAAATATCTGAATAACGCTTTTCAATCAAACGAATTTTGTTCAATAAAAATTTAAATTAAATTGAAAATTTCAAAAAAGCGAAAAAAAAAAGAAAAAAATAAAGATAATAAATATAAAATGATTGAAAAGAAGGCCATTTGATCGCCGATTTGAAGACGATTTAATAATTGAATGTTCATTTGTTGAATCGTCATAAAAATTATCATAAATTTTCGCATTTTTTTGTGGCCATTTTCTATAATTGCAATAATCGGCACTCTTACACGCACATACGTTTACGATAGCGCCCGATTTCGTTGTTCGTTGCTCGCACTGTGTTTCGTTCCATTCACTTCGTGAACATGCATAATGCACGCCAGTTATTGAATGATCCAACATTAGGCAAACTAAAAAGAAATATAAAATCTATAAAATAATTTTATAATAAAAAAGTGAAAAAAAAATAACTGAGATGAGAATATTGATGGTTAAAATGATCGTTTAAAACGATCGCTAAAATTTTGAGATTTCTTTCGTAATTTTTTTCAAAATTTTCCTTTTCGATTTTTCATATTTCAAATGAAATAAACAAAAATTTGGAAATTGAATTTAAATAAGAATTAAAAAAATTTAATTTAAAATTTAATTTTAATTTAATTCCAATTTTAATTTTAATTTAATTTAATTTATTTAAAAAAAAATTAATTTTTATATTTCTATATTTATTTATTGAAACCTAATTTCAAACGGTTATAAGCTTCCAATTTTCAATTTTTCATATTATCTATTTCAATCATTCATTTAGCTCATCATTAATCAACAATGGATTATTCTTCTTTTAATAATTATAATTATATTTATTAAAAAAAATTAATTAAAAACGAGCCTGTCAGAAACAATTATAATAATAAATAATTCCAATCTTTATTTCATATGAATTAATGGAGAGAAAAAAAAAAATTAGGAAGAAAAACTAATCGATTTGTAAAAAATAAATTATGAAATGATAAGTGATAAAAAAAAATTTTTGTTTTAAAATTTTTAAAATAATAAAAAAGATTGAAATTTAATTTATATATTTAAAGAGAGAATTAAATTCGACTAAATTTAGAACGAAAAAATTATAAATTAAAAATTTTTGCAAATGCTTAATTTCTAAGAGCGCTTAATATTTCTGGTTAGATTTCATTCAGCTGGCTTATCGAATGTGAAAAATAAATTTTCGTTCATTTGATAATAGACGGTGAAGTAGTTAAGAAACTTTCAGCAAGAACTGAACTTTATTGCAAATATTTAAAAAAAAATTAATAAACTCTCGTTTTAAGTGAATAAATATTTGCAAAATATTGGCATCATTGCCGGTTAGATTCACTCCTCGGATAATAATGGAGCAATAGCCAAGCAGATTAGCGGATCGCTTGGTGATAGGCAAATGAGTAGCATTATTCGATTCTTCGAAAGACAAATCTATATACCTTACGGCAAGTTGTTCATTAGCCTCTCCGCAATTGCTATTTTAGCTGAATTAATCAATTAATGTATTGTAAAAAATTCTTTTAAATACTATATAAATTTATTCAGTAGAAATATTATTAGAAATATTATATATAAATATAAATTTACGCAGTAGAAATATATGTAAATGTCCTTGAAATATAATTTCTGCTCCAATTTTCCTTCAAATAATTTCGTGTCATTGCCCTTTATTACTTTTAAAATTTCGTTTAATCCTTTAAAATTTTTCTCGAAAATTACATTAAATTATATTAAACTATAAAATTTTTCTCTGCCATAAATATAAAATTATATTTTACTTACTTACATTTTATTAATAATATTTATTTTATAATATTATTTTATTTCAAATTATTTGAATAAAAATTTATGAAAAAAATGAGAAGATTAAATGAAATTTTTAAAAATAAAATGGTGTAATCAAAATAGTAAAAAAAAATCGAATTAGAATAATCTATTCATTTTAAGCATAAATTTCTTTAAAAATTTAAATTTAATTTGAATTCTATTGATACTGCGAAAAATTTCAATGCATAAAAGCCTGAATATGAGTAATTCTTTGAAAATTCTTTAACGAAATTGGATTATATTTACAAATTTGAAGATCAAATTTTGCTTTTTTTTTCATTCAATTGAATATGTGTTTTTTAAACTAAACTAAAATACATAATAATGATAATTTTGAAATTTACACAAATCATAAATTATTTTTCTGACTTTCAATCAAAATTTATATGAGAGTTTTTTTAATGGAATATGCTCATTAATATATTGTTTTATTTCCTTGTTTATACTAAAAAAAGAAAAAAAAATTTTTTTAAAATTTTCCCAAGTTTTAATAATTAAATAAAATAAGTGAAATAAAGAGGCTTAATTTATGGAAATCAATTCGATTGGCTATCGTTGTCATTAAAATAAATAAACAATTTAAACGAAAAAAAATGAAAATCGCAAAAATATTTTCAATTAATTTCCCTAAAATTTTCGAAGCTTTATTTTTATTTTAAATTAATTAAATTTATTTCAAAAAATCATTCTTGTCGAATAATATAGTATAATTAGAAGAATAAAATGCATAAACAAGTTTAACAGGTTTATTTAATAGTTCATTCGCTCATATGCACTTCATATTTATATTTATTATTAATAATTATTTATTTTATTTTATTTTGTCATAACTATAATTTTAAATCCTAAATTTCATTTAAAATTTTTTTTTATATTGTTATTATTATTATTGTTATTATTATTTATTATTATTTTTTATTATTGTTCATTATTATTAAATTTTTTCTTATAGAATTATTAAAGATTAATTGATGCGTTGATATCCGATTCAATTTAATAATAATTTAATTTAATTTAATTTAAGTAAAAATTCTTTTTAAAGCTTTTTTAAATATAATAATAATATCTATAATATTAATAGTAATAATAATAAATAGCAACAATAATAAAAAAATAATTTGGTTCAATTCAAGATATTAGATAATGAAAAAATTTGTCTCAAAGTAATCAAAAGTAATGGCTTTTAATGACATAGTAGTATTTGCCAATATTTATAAAATTTTATAATAATATAATTTTGTAAAAATATCGAAATAAAAAAATTGCTTTTTTATCGGCAAATCGTTTAATTTTCTGAATTTTTTAACGGCTATTTACTTGAAATAAGCATTCATTTCTCAAAAATTTATTCTTAATTTATCCATTTAAATTTTAATGTTTCGTAAAAAAAAACGTGGTTATAAAAATTGATTTCGAGTGAAATAAATGATGAATTTTAAGATTTCACAAAATTGTTTATTGAAAAATTAATATTTTGCATCTGCAATTTTCTAATATTATAATTAATTATAATAATTTCATGAATATTTTACTATTTACGTGCACTACGACAATAGCGAAAAATAAACTCGATTTAAACTCGATTTCATGAATATATATCGAATAAATTTATCGAAAAATTTCTATTTAAATCATTTATTAAAAATATTATTATTATTATATTATTAAAAATGTTAAAAATATTATTTTCAACATATATTTTTATATTTTAATATTATAAAATATTATATTAAAAAAATTTTGCTATTAAAGAAATTAATTAGCACAAAAATTATCAAAATTAGAATAAATGAGAATTACTAAAAAGAATTAAAAAATTTTTTATGAGTATGGAAAGTAATTCCAAAAAACTTGTTATTCAATTTTTTAAAGTTCACCATTCTAAAAAAAAAAAAATCGCTTTTTTTCTTAAAGAAAGATTAGTGAGTTTAGTGAATGAGAAGTGAATTCCCAAAAGTATTTTAGTGATATACATATTCGCTAATCTTTTTTTTTTGCTAAAACGAGAAAATTTTATTTCCTAATTTGCTTATTTCTATGCTGTCAACTCGATTAAAAAGACCACGCAAAGGCCCGTTATTTAATTGCGTTTAAAGGCCTTACAAAAGCCGAATATAAAAGATTGACGGAGAAAAAAACTTATAAAAGAAACAAATTGAAAAATTTTTATGCGTTCGATTTTCTGTTTTTATACAAAAGCCTTATGAGAAAATAAAATAACAGATGGCAGAAATGGAAAACCATATGTTTTATTCCAACGTTTTCAAGTTACATTTAAAGGAAAAATAATGATAGAAATTCGTTCCTTTCAATTAGTTCAATTTGTTCCCATTAGTTTTTTTTTTTTTTTTTCTTGCATTATTTTTCATTGTTAAACATAGAGGAGAAAATCTAAGGAGTAATAAATTGTTTTATTTGTTTCATAATGAAATCCAAATGATAAGTCATGATAAGTATCTAAACTTTGCTTAAGTATGAATGCATGATGGATGATATTTATGCATAAACATATGTTCATGTAGCATAGCGACTATATAATAGTGGTGAAAAAAGATTGCCACTGGGGATCAAAGTTTGAATTCGAATTTGCTAGTGCACCACTCGTCATCGAATGGCAATTTCACCTAACGGAGAAAAACAAAGGAGAATAGAATGGCTCAGTGGGTTGTTGATCAATTCGATGCATCGGTGATGAGATTCTACTCCTTCTTACTTATCAGCAAATAAGTGATAAGTGATTGGCGGTTTCTGATTAAGTTTTTCATTGTGATTAAAACTTTTTACATATTTAAAAGTATAGAATTTAGTCGGTCACTAGTAGCACAGACTAAATCCCTGCGGCGAATTAAAAATATAATTTATGATATAAGACGCAACGAATCAAAGCAATCTCTCAAATTAAAAAATTTCAAGTGAAAAAAAAGGTGAAAAATGAAAAAAAGTAGAATCGAATTTTTCTCATCTTCTATATCTCTCTTTTTTTCGGCTAAAACTTTCAAAAATTCTCTGAAAATTTTGAAAAAAAAAATTTTTTTTTGCTTCAAATAATTTTCTGCAATTTGAAAATAAATAAATGAATATTTTTTTTGAAATATTTAATATAAAATTCCGAATTTCGAAAATTTTTTTAATTTCCTTTATTTTATTTCATTATTTTCTAACGTTTCTTTAAATATAAAATTGTTTATTTATAGTTGAAAGGGAGGAAACCAGGTTAAATGTGGAAAAAAAGGAATGAAAAAAAGGAATTCATCTTTATTCATCTTTGTCATTCATTCATTCCAATTTAATGACAAAAATTTTATTTACGAGTCATTTTTTGATGCTTCGTTTAATTATTATTTTTAATTATCTATTCATGGCAAATTCATGGCTAATAATCTTAAATAGCTTTTCATTTATACAAAACAACTCTAATAAAATTGCATTTTTATTACTTTAAAAATTAAATTACAGTAAAAGTGCGATTCGTTTATAATTGTTCAGCCAAGTTAAATATAGATTGTGAAAAGGTTTTTATCATTTTACTTTATAAA